AGTACTGTCGATATGATTCCATCGACATAACACACATTAACTAAGATTAAGAATAAATTTTAGGAACATATAATTGACATGGTTTTAGTAAAAAATACTTACATGTAGATACATCTATTTGAGCATTTGTCAAGAAAAATTAAATGAAATTGTAAAACAGACTACAAGTTTTTTTTTAAATGGTGGCATTTATGCTAGTTTTGTATTACTTATAAAATCCAATTTTACAATTTGAAATCAACACAGTAAAAGCAAATATTGAAGGTGTTTAATGATTAAAATTTATAACAAATGGAGGCAATTACATTCTTGTTTAATATTCGACTTTTGCCGGTGATGATGGTCGTCATTAGTGTAAAAACATAAACGTAAAAATAAATTCACAGAAAATAAAAAAGAAATAAAACTAAAGCAATTGTTTTTCTCCAAAACCATGTTGAGCACTGGTTAATTGATGAACCACCGCTTCAGAATGAGCAGATGCATGTGTTTTTGCTCTCAATTAAGACATCCTCCAGAAGAATACCGCAACCTCTTGTTGGGATCTACACATTTTGCTGCTGAACGAGCTACCGAAAGGCAAAAAAAATATATACAAATACCTTCATACGCATTTTGAAGTGAAAATAGAAATTAATATTTATATTACGATAAGCAGTGAGGGTTTGGATGCGGTACTCGGAAGAAACCTGGAAAAAATTCAAGCTGTTACAAATTCTGTAAAAAAGGAAGGATTACTGTGATATACTGTGAATGGAAATGAAGCATTAAATTAAGTTAACGATGTGCTAAACAGTCTGCCGCTCGACGAATTCTATTATTGTAAATACATATTAATCATTCGACTTATTCTTTTTGTGGGTCTTCTTCGCTCGTTTCAGTTTCCTTTTCGTCATCAAGGATAGATTCCGATTTCTTTTCTGCAGTTTTATCAGCTTCTATTGTGTCTGTTGTTTCAACTTCCTTTTCATCTTCTTTCGCTAGATCTAAATTTTCTGCTTTCTTATCTTTTTCGTTTTCACTTTTACTATCTTCATCTTCTCCACTCTCATTTTCCTCTTCTTCAATATTATCTACATTTCCTATTTCTTCATGCGTTTTCCCTTTATCTTCCACATCGCTGTCTTCAACCGCTTTGGTTTCCTTTCCTCGATCTTCTATAGCTTCGTTTAAATTTTCTTCGTTTGTATCCTTTTCATCTGTACTCGCATCAGGGGCTTGCCTTTCTGTTCCATTGTTAACATGTTTCGAGTTCTCGCTGTTTTCTACTTTATTTGGCTCGTCTTTCACTTCTTCTTTATCTGTTTCAGTTTCATTGTTGTCTACTTCTGAAGTATTGGACTCATCTTCATCATTTTCTTCCTTATCGGCACTATTTCCCTCTTCAACCGCAATTTCTGCAGTTTTCGCATTTCCTTCCGTTTGGTTCTCTTCCGGATCATTTTCGCTCTTCGCCGCATCGCCTTTATCACTTTCTTTAGCGACTTTTTCTTCAGGCTTTTCATCAGATTTATCTGTTTAGTATTGCAGTATTGTAATGTGGTGGCTGGTTTTTAAATACCAATTCTGAATACCATTGTATTTTACCTTTAATTTCTTCCGTTTCAGGTTTCACATCTTCACTTTCTGTTTCTTCATTTACATTTTCTTCTCCATCAGATTTCTTTTCTGTTTCTTCCGTCTAACTTTTAATGAATTTGTTATATGGCCAGGTTTAATGTGGAGGTAGAGGTAGGTAAAAATTGCAATGAAAGGAAAGATATGTACAAATTTAGTTACGAAAAATGTGGCAATGAATGATCAGCGGGCCCTTTCCAAAGTATTGCGGAGTCAATTCTTTAGGAAATGCTCTTGCACTTACAGTTACTCACAGAAGTATTCGTTGTTTAGTTTTTTCACGGTATTCAAAATGTTTTCAATTGCAAATTTTTTCCTTTATTTTTATTTAAATTGCTGCCATTCTATAACAAAAACCATATAAATCAAATTGCATGCTTTCTGCAAAATTCGCAAAAATTCAGCGAGTCAGATCTTTGGAATTTTTTAAGTTTGCAGTTTTGTAGTCTATTAAATTTTAAATTAATAAAGGTTAAGTTTTAAGTGTCTAGGCATTATCGTTGGTCTTTTTTTCGCTGACAGTGTCCCCCGTTTTCTTCCATATAAAAATATTTTTTTTATGCTTTGCATAGTAAGCAGTAAGTCATAGCCACTTAAAAATTGCACTTTATTATGCTAAAATTTAATGGGCTACAAAATTGCATACTCCAAAACACGATTAAAATGTCTGAAATTTCGATGGCCATTTTTTGAAACTCGCTACATTTTTGCAAATTTTGTAGTAAGCTTGCTACATTGATTTATACGGTTTTTGTTATGAATGAATACTTCTATGAGTAACTGTATATATGTAAACAGACAAAGAAAATTTGTTATGGCCCGGGGACGAGACAATGTTTACCAGGCTATTTTTTGGGGGTTATTGAAACTGAAATTATTGTCCATTTCGTGACGTCTTTGCAAGCATATCAAATAATAAATAAAATAAAATAAAAAAAGTTTGCATACAACGCTTTTATAAATGGACTAAAAATTAGAAAATAATATTTCTCAATCCCATAGAATTTGTCATGATAAAAATATAGTAAGGTAGAACCGCTGAGAGTCACTTTTAAAATTCTTGACGTTTCCAAACAATTTAATTTTTAAATTTACTCACAAACTCACACACACATTTTCATTTTCAATCTCAAGCAACAACAATTTCGAACAATTTCAATTTTTTATTTTCACTTTTATATGATTTTAAAATGTTGGCAAACTTCAAAAAAAAATCATGGCCGACGAATTGAGAGAACGGTTTTACCTTACTATGTTTTTATCATGGAATTTGTTTTGATAACTTTTGGTTTTGAAATTTTAGCCAAAGTCATTATAAACCATTTATGAGATTGAAAGCGAAGAACGCAGTGCGCATGCAATACAAAGCATTATATTTAATTGACAATAGTAAAATTACATAACATAGACCTAAAATTTATACAGAAAAAGTACAAATTTGAGATCGAGTTTAAGCGGCCGTTATTCATATATCCACATTCATACATATATTACCCTTCATATCAACTCAGGTCTACTATATGCGCCCCACGCTTTTCATTTTCAATATCATAAACGGTTTATCAAAACAAAATCTATGGGACTGAGGAATATTATTTTATATTTTTTAGTCCATTTATAAAAGCGTTGTATACTAAAAAGTTTTATTTTATTTTATTTATTTTCTACTTTTTAGTCTTGTCTGTATACAATTTTGCAATAGATATTAAAATAATCCAACTTGCAGCGAAAAGAGAACAGAAGACTATGGAAGCAACATGTCGTTTGCTCACGTTTAGTATAAACATACATATAGTGGCAGTTAATTTGATTTAAAGAAATGGCGTGTCGCCCATTTCCTCTGTAGCGTATTTAAATAGTGCATATATTTAGGCGCAATATTTAACTTCTTCTGGCGGGGCGACATCTACAGTCTTCTATTTGTATCTCTTTGATGTGATGCCTACAACGAGGTCGAGGTTGCTACATTTATAGTATTAATGGTGGTTTGGACACAACATTGCAAGTGCCTGGACTAGGGGTGTTAATTTTTCAGCTTTTTCCGATCCCGGGATTTTGGGGATGTCGTTATCACAATCCCAGGATCCCGGAATTTAGATATTCATTACATTTCAACAACTTAAATCGAAAAAATTTCTTCTATATTGTTTGAGAAGCTGTCCTACCATAAAATAAATAATAAATCAATGGGTTGGGTTTGAAACCTACTTTTTTATTTAAAGCGGCGTTTTTATTTTTTCTCTCTGCCTTCAGGATTTATTTTAAAGGAATTTTAAAGATATGATTGATTCAAAAAATTATTTAAAAAATTCAATGCAATGAATATAAAAATATGGGTACCAAATGCAAGAGGAAATTTCTATAATAATAATAATAATAATAATAATAGATTGGCGCTTACACATATGTTAGTGTTTGGCCGAGCTTCTCTTCCGACTTGTGGCGTGCACCTTGATGTCACACAAAGGGGAGGGACCTATAGTTTTACGCCGACTCCGAGCGGCGATTGTATTTTTATGAGAAGCTGTTTTTCAGGGCCGAAATACACTCGGAGGTTTGCCATTGCCTGCCGAAGGACGACCGCTGTTTAGAAAAAACCTATTTCTATATTTTTTTGCGATGTTGCTTTGACCAGGGCTTGAACCCAGGTGCTGATGAGTGAAAGCGCGCACTGCTTGCCACTACACCACAGCGGATTTTTTTTTGGTGGCATATTTTCAAGAACAATTTTTTTTATCAAAAAAATTTGCATGTGAAAAATTTTTCAAGAAAAAAAAAAAATATTTCTTTGCATAGAGAATTTTTATATGTGTATGTGTGATTTTTTTCACATTTTTTCCTCGCGCCGTTTTCGAGATATTTGGAAAACTATTAAATCGATTTGTTTTGATTTTTGTTCTGTTAAGCTTTTAAAAATGTATTTATCAAGCTCAAATTTCACATTTATTTATATTTATGCATCGACCCTAAGAATTTTAAACAAATCAAACGCCTGAAGTGTGAACCCCGTATGTTTTGATATGGAACGCCTTCTTTAAGATATTTGCCTTTTCCAACTTAAAAAAAAAGATTATAGCGAGGAAAAAGCCCTTATTCCTATAATATGAAAGTTTCAAACGTTCCATATTTAAATTGGGAGCCACTTGTATCAACTCACGCCGAGCGCACGTTTAGTACATTCAAGGATATTTTTGCGAAAATTGAATGAAAATGCTGCCAGAAAACTTCAAAATACATCTTGTGGTTCAATGTTACTACAACTATAGAGATTAAAGTTACATATGTGAGTTAAAAACTCGAAAGGAGAAAATAGTCAAAGATTCAAAGTACAAATTTTTAATATAATGAAACTCGTTCACCGTTTTTCTCTTTTTACTTGTAATATAAAGCTTCTAAAATAAATGTATTTTTTTATTATTTTTCAGTTTTTGTCTTTTTAGTGCCTTTTTTCCTTTTCTGCGATTTCTAGTGTCTTTTCCTGCCTATTTCGCTATTTTATTTTGCCTTTTAAATAGGTTTTTAGGTCTAAACAACCGTTACCTGTGTATTGTTAATGGGAAAGTGGAGAGGGAAATTTTTGTTTACGCATATACACGACTAATATTTTAAATAAATATATATATATTACGCATAATTACTCATTTCTATTGCATTTGTGTCTAAATCCCGTTAAACTAATCACATGCTTCTCGCCAGAGACCAACAGGGTTGCTTAACTAGGTAAAAGGAAATTTTACCCGAGTTGAGGGTTCATTTGTCGCTCGTTTACAAAAAAAATACAGCTAGTATTTGAATAGTCTTGTTACATTCGAAATATTTAGGATTGCATGTGCAATATTTAAGCAAACTTTTTTGCAAGAAATAAGGGTATGTAGGGAATAAAATTAAATTCTATCCTACATTAAATTACTAAATCTTTATTATCAATGCTAAAGGCTATATTAAAAGACACATTTTTTTTAAGTAGCGACGGCTGCATCACCTTCTAGCCGCTTCTTCTTGACCTTGTAATAGGCCTAACTTTGAACTTTAATTGTGGCAAACTTACTGCTTATTTTTGAAATTTGATTGCAAATCATTTTAGAGACACTGGCTAAAGCAATGCCTACCTCCTCTTTTCGCGATTTTTCTAATAGAGTTTGGTTAAATGGTTTTTATAAGAGAATGGTTGTTCACATATGGAACACGTTACTTCCTTTTCACCCTCGGACTTTTCGAAAAAACGCAAAAACCTCCTTTTTACGAAATTTTGTATAGGTAACAATTGCCACGTCCTCCCCTCTCGTGGGCGGAAATTTATCATCCGATTTCAATGAAATTTAGTTTGTACTAGAGATGGGCGCGTGGGTGATTTTAACTCACGTTTCCGCTCGCTCACGTTGATGGTTTTATAAATAATTGTGCGTTATTTTTTTTTACAAATTTCAGGTATATATATGTTATCATAACTTTAAAATACTCACATTTGGAAAAGACTTTTAGTTCGATTTTTTAGAAATATTTTGAGTAAGTTGAAAGTAGCTCCGACTTACCGTTGATTTTTGGGATTTTTTTTTTGTTGAAGGTATTGCTCATTTTCTCCATATAAAAGAACGACGAACATACTTTGCATGGAAGAAAATGACTGACATCGGCAACAAAAAAATTGCTAAAAATCAACGGTAAGTCGGAGCTACTTTCAACTTACTCAAAATATTTCTAAAAAATCGAACTAAAAATCTTTTCCAAATGTGAGTATTTTAAAGTTATGATAACATATATGTATATACCTGAAATTTGTAAAACAAAATAACGCACAATTATTTATAAGACCATCAACGTGAGCGAGCGGTTTTGCAACTCGTCGCAACTTGTCGATGGGCGGTTTTGCAAAAACATCAACGATATGTTTATGTATATAAAAATTACGTCAGCAACGCTCACGTGTGAAAAAGCATGACACAACGTGTGACGTAGAAAATCACGAGTTTTGCCCATCTCTAGGTTGTACTTTCTCTTTTATTAGAAAACGGTAAATATAAAATAAGGGGAGTATAAGAGAGGATTTTTGAGCGTAATTTTGCG